CAAACTGACTGAATATGTCCAATATCACCACATTTAAAGCACTTAGAATTACGAAATTTGCATGAATTAAAAGAGTGGAACTTGCCACAGGACAAACATTGACCAAACTTGTGCCCATCTTCGTGAACTGCGCCGCAACTCCTCAATGAATTTTCTGCATAACCTTGAGTGTGCACTGGGTTGGGATGACGTAATGTAGTCGAATCTTTTATATCCTTGTGAATCATTTTACGAAATCTTCCTCCTTTACGACATTTGAAATTTGTATACTGAGCATAGTCTAGCAGTAGATCCTTGAGAGTTGTATAAAAAAGCGAAATGGGCTTTTCCGGTAAAGCCAGAGTTTTTAATAAGCTATATGCTTCTTTTCCGATGAATGTGAGGAAATGTGCTACAATATTAACATCCTCATCATCTTCCTTGGTCATAACCCAAATTTCGAACCTTTCAAAGTAATACTCAAAAGCATGAAGATCTGAGTGTATATCCAACAATTCCATCACAGGCTCCATCGCGACGCCAATGTGATGATTAGGAGTATTCGAATTATAGTATGAACTAAGAATCCCAGAAATAACAATCGGATCAAGAAGTACTAGATAAGCACGAACGAATGTACTGTATTTGGAATTCTAAATTAAGCATTCAACAAGTACAAAGGAATCATTGGTTCATTCAAATACCACACCATTTTAAAATCTTTTAGTATTTATAAATGATAAAATTTTAAATGTACATGTGAACGTCTGAATAACTATTTGATAGACTTTTATCAAAACTTCACTTTCGTAGATCATTTCATAACAGAGCTACTCAAGTGAATATTTCTAGTGGTGAGTCAGCTATTTTCATTTTGAATACTTTACCTAATTAAGGCGGAACATCTGTTTTCTGGAAAATCATCCTTAGATGTAAACCATTTACTTTAATGATCACATTACTTATCTAAGTTGAACTTGTACGTGACTAGTCTGTCAAACTGAATGAAATCCTAAGTTCCCCACCATATTATGTGAGTTCTATATTAATAAGGTTAATTTAGGTTTTCTTAGGTAACTACTGTTAAATAATTTGTACTACCTTGAAAACATCTCTTCAATCACTTACCTTTTCTTCTCCCTGCTTTTGCCAAGCATAAATAAATTCAGCTAACAGAATTTCTATATTCTTAATTGTGGACTATTCAATCTAAATATTTTCACGACAGTGACTAGCATACAAGTTGATAACTTATGCGCTGGTACGCCCGAGAATGGGGACAGTCAGTTCTCCCTCTCGAAATGCTTTTGTAGTAAGCCCATTCCACTACTGTATTATTTATCTGTTCACTGTAATTTAGACACTTGATCCACTATGTAAATTTTTGTGTGATTCTGATTGAGCACATATCAATTCTTTAATCTATTCTCCCATTGGTTGTAATACACACACAATCAATAATTTATCCATACTTGATTAATACTCAAATATATATATATGGATTTTTAACACTCATCCTCACACACACACACACTTCCTTCATATATTTATTACAATCTACTCACTGATATTCACTCTTTTGTTGTCTTTACGTACAGTCTAGTCATGACAACTAGAGAACAGTTTGAATATATTTGTGAATTTCTCTTTCGTTAATTGTAAACACTAAAACTAATTATTTTAACAGACTTTAAAACAATAAACTATTAATTTCTCTACGATATTATCAGCCATTTAGTTTATTATTTTACACACTATTCTCTTTCTCTTACACCTATTCCCTTTCTTTTATCGACTCACTATTTCTTTTTTAAAATAGTTATATTCTTTAAAGAAAAAAAAAGAAGAACATTTTAAAGAACATAATCATCGTTTAGAATAGTTTATGAATAATCATTTTAGTTCACATGTGAAATATTCTGAATAAACTTTTCTTTTTCTCTTGATGAATTTATTATCTTTAAAATTATTATTTAAAGAAGAGGTTACAAGAACACCACTTAGAAACAAGTAAAAACAACACACACACAAAAAAAACCCACAGGAATAAGATATTTCTTCTTTTTCTACTTTAAAATCATCTGTCAATAATTCGCTCTTATTTAATAGAATACTGTTTGTTTTTTAATACTTTGTTTTAATGAATAAAGAATGAAATGACAAAATAATAGTAAAAACAATAATGTTAAATATTAGTATTATTATTATTGGTAAGCCTATATTATGGATTAGTCATTAGGGAAAAAGAAAGGAATATAAGTGTTTCATGATAAATATCTTCATAAACTAAAGACAAATTGGAAATTTCACCATTTGTCTAATAACTTAGTAGAAATTTATTTATTTTTAGTTCATTTCATTTGTTTTTTTTTGCTTCTTTTTTGTCTTGAATGAAAAATTCTAGTCGAATTTATAAGTGAATTAAGAAAAATAGACTCATATTGTCTCGTACAATAGAATTAGAATAAGACCATACAAATTCATACAGATGCATACATGTATAAACATATGAAAATAATTAACATAATCTCAAGTATTTAAAATGGTTTCATTTCATTTTTAAAGTACTGACTATATTATGTTCGTAACTTTCAGTAGAGTACTAATTATAATTAACATTGTAGACTGGTATTAGTTAGACAATTATTGGAAGCAGAAGGCTCTGGACAGATGTTTCGTTCTAATATAGGACTCCTCAGCAGCGCGTGCCTGCGACCTTATTAGAGATTAAATCCAAGATATTCGGTGTCGCGGTAAACACTTAACTTCCAAACCACTGAGCGGATAACCGATGGGTTATAAGTTCAACTCCAGTCAACTCACGATATTGCGCAACAATCTCCCAATGTCATTTGTGTGTCCTAGGCTAGGACGAAACAGATATCCCGCATTTTCTGATTTCCATGGTTGTCTGAGATCAGTTCATGATGTTAACTATAAAATTCAAAAATCTGCGTAAAATACCAATTACTGGCAAAATCAAGTAAAAAATTAGAAACAACCTAAATTACCCTTCCCTGAGAAAAAGATTTGAATAAAACCTACATCCTAAATAAAGATTAACTGGAAAAATACACACCACTGAGAAAAGTATAAGGTCTTCGAGTTTCAATTTCAAATTAGTAAGCGTGATCTCGTACAACGATGATAGCCAGCATCTTTGTAGGCATAAATCAAACTTAAGTTTTGGAAGAATAACTATATGACTGAATGACCTCGGATCATCTGGTTGACTCTTTATCAAGAGAAGTGAGATCTAACCCAGGCTAAATCTCAATTTTAAAGCTAATCTTAGGGTTTCTGGTGAGAATCCTCACGTATATCAAGTGTTTCACCTAGTTCAATTATCGTCCCTGAACAAAATACATAATATACTAATCACTCTGGCGCTAGATATACTTTCACAAACTGATTCACTAGGGTTTTTGTGAATACTTAGTCATAAATAAAATTCATTTTACTTCTGTTGTAAAATGAATAAGATTAACTGAGGACATCCACATCAATTTCATGTAACCAGGGTCCCGTGTATAATAATAATTTTGTAACAGTGGTATCTGTACCAGAGAAGCGAACAATACAGTATAATCCTATCAAAGTAGTCTTAAGAGTTAACGACTAATCCGATGAAGAAATTTCTATTCATTATCACAATACTTAGCCAGGCAAATAGATAACCCACTAATTGGATCTGCATTTCTGATGTACTATACTAATGTGTGTTTGAGATAACTTGCAACTAGATTTATGTAAAATTAATCTAGGTTGTAATTTTTATTTCGAAAAAACCACGGGTTGCGAACAGTTTATGAGAACTTATGGAAACAAAGTCGGATCATTTTATTTTGCCTAAGAACTTGATGACACTTTAAATTAGGAAAGTACTAAATGTATCATATTGAACGGACATCATATAGCCTTACATCTAATTTACAACTTGTTCTTAATAGTAGTTATCTTAGTTTTACTCGATACTTAGAAGTAGGGTTTATAACAAATACAAACTTCTAAAATCAACACTTGGTTTTACGAATTCACTTATTGCACCGAAGTGCCAACGCCATAATAGTGATCTTGCCTACTTGCTAATAGAAATAAATGAACACTCGATGAAATTCGCCAACAGCTACTAAAACAGCCAATGACATTTAACATGATGAATAAACAAGATGAGTTTAACGACATATTAAATAAATGGCTATGTCGTTATAAAGTGTTGAGAATAAGACTTTTTGTACATGAAAATGTTGCCAAACTTTGGTTTTGATAAGAGCTATTAAATTTCGAGTGTTTACTCTTACACTAAACGCACGTGAAATCCCCCTTGCCCAAACAGGCAGCTGTCCACTGCCTATAGGTCACTAAATGCACAAAAGAACAATATTAATTACTGACTAGAAAACTAAGAAGTATACACTAATTTAATAATACTTAAGTACGTATCTTCCCGTAAAATGCAATTGCAATACAAATCAGGTACATGCAAGATACTTGAAATATGTATAGCTTCAATGATAATTTTGGATACTGGAAACCCGACAAAATTACAGTTGCCACGTAAATTTCAGCCAAAATGTGGTTTCTGGGTAGAACAGGAGGTAATATGTACGTTGATTCAGGATTATTTGTTGATAATCTTTACCAGCAAGAACAGCTTGGTATGTTTCGGAGCAAAAAACAGGGGTATTTACTTGTTTCATTACGGAAATTTTTGTTAACTATTCTATGAATATCGTTAGTTTCACTCTACAACCGAAAAGACTTTTAAAACAAATAAATTGAGAATCCGTTTTCAGGTGCATTAAACAGATTTATCGTCGGATAAAAACACATATAGATCAGGATTACTATGTATTTTAAAGAATGAAATGAACATTCAGTTTACATGTTATATGATATCTCTTGGTGGACGAAATTTTAGTGAACGTAAACCAAGAAACTAAATTCCACAAGTTTAACGAAAATAAAGCAAGTATTTACAATGACTAATAAGTCAAATACACAATAAGTGAATAATGAAACTATAAAAGACCATTGGTCATACGTGGCGTAAGCCACAATTTTAGCCGAAAAGCATCTCTTCCATTTAAATAATAACGAAGAAGCCTTTTATCTCTGTAGAATCCCAGCTGCTCATAAAGTGAAAGGGCTGCTTTGTTGTCAACTTCTGCTTCTAAAGAGATCTAAAACAATACAAGAAGTGAAGTATAAAAACGTATAAAAGTTTATCATACACATGAGGAATTTAGAAATCGGATGACAGGCTGTTGAGAACTGATGAGTAGTATTTACGATGAGGTTTATGACTTTTACCACAACAACAAATCAGTGCCAGTTCGATGTGTATTACATCAATGCAGTGACCAGCCTTGCAAACTATGATGGCTCACTTGGTTAATACCGTGATGCTGATTCGGTATAAAGAATTGGGCTAACGTACATTTGTGTCAGGCTCCACGCTGATTATAACCAACTGATTTATATCACTGAAAAGGTTACGACAACGAGACAGGCTGGGGAGTTGTTAAAGGAAAATTAGCGACTTTCTTAACATGAATGATTGAATGACATAGCGCGGGTGGATAAAGTGGAATGAAACAGCAGTGGTGTCCCCTATTTTGTAAAGATAGCATGGAAAATGAACTGGAAGAAGTAAACGTTCCACTTGCCTATTTATGTAAAAGCACACACCGGTCTAGGCTGAATAATCCTCTGGAAATCCAAATTCCTATTAGAGATTCCTTTCTAACGAAACTATATGCCTAAACGAGTACTAATATTGTAGAATCTAATACAACTTAACAACTAGAGAAGTTGTGTATCCAGCTTTGAATAATACATTCCGCAGAAAGGCTAAAAACGCTATTCAGCTGACTAAAGTGAAATTGAGATGAGGTTCCGATGGAGTTGGAGGTTGAATGCTTCGACCACTAGGATTACACTAAGTGAGTATTGCCTATTTTATAGTTACAGAAGGGAGGAAAACGCTGTTCGATTATTCTGAGAATTTATGATTATAATCAAATTTTAGTATTGATGAATATCTCGGGTAATGATGAACAACAAATAATAACATGACAGAAAAGAATTGGATGAATGTGAAAACAGTACAATGAAACTGTTGATACAAATGTAAAAAGAAAAATGTTGAAAATGTCATCTCACTTCATCACACCTATCTTGAATCATAAGTTCGATTGCAAGTTGAGCCAATCGTGATCCTACGTTAGATAAAAATTAATCAAAATAGAACGCGACAAACCAATGCCAATTCTACGGTGATTTTCTTCAACAGCAAGCATAGCTATATATCCTTCTCGAACAGTTTCTATACTACCTTCCATTTTACAAACAATAGTGCCCACACAAGTTCCGTCTTCACTAATAGCCTTCACAGTTCGACAATTAACACAAATCCACAAGACAAACCAATAAACACAGTTTGGGCCAGTTGTATATAAAATATCGATAAGTATATATGGAATAAGGTTCGGAGAGATCGTTAGCAATGAGATGGATAATACTGTTTAGATCTGATTCGCCAATATACTGCCGAAAAGTGATTCCATTTTGCGTATCTGTGAATAGAGGTTCAATTGGTTGAACTGAAAAGTCTAGAAGCTCGACAAATTATATCCTACATTTCTTTTCACTATGACATTTTTCCGACAAAACGATTTTGTTAAGCTCGGTAGAAAGTTTAACATCGTCTGACATCTCCAGTTGCCTATATGCTGAGTTATAAAAATAAAAAATATGAAACAAACAAATAACACAAAAAATGTATACTGGAGTCGAAGTCATACTTAAGATTTTCACAAATGATTTGGATTTATAACACTATTTCACTTAATAATAGTCAGTTATTTACTAAGAAGGTTGTAACAAAAATGTATTATTTTCTATCTAGAATGGTTTGAATGTATTACTTGTCTATGATTGGTAGGATAGTCAAATGTCAGACAACAATAAATTAGAAGCCTTGGATCTTTTTCTTTGGAACAAACCTTGATCCTCCTAAATCCGTTATTCGGAACGTAAATTGTCGAATTTACTCAGAAATTTATTATACTAGTAAACGATCTGTCAGAAATAATATATTTTCTTAGGAAACGAGTGACTATCGCCAGCTGAAGCTGATATATATATATCCCTAATTAGATATAAGTGTTACAGTATCTAAACTACCGGCTTCGGTTTTGGCACCCGGGCAGTATCCCAGCCCTCGCACAAATCGAATGATTTACGTGGCACATATCTATTTGGTGCCTCCTTGTACCAATGTTTGTGTGTTTAAGTAAATAAATAACTAAAATAACTGAATTTACAAAGGACATGTTTAGGCTGGCCAAAGAGGGAAAGGACAAAAGTGAAACTTATTAACCTACCAGCAAGAACACAATAGTGATTTTAAACCTGCGTCGTGGTGTGAAGCTAACAAAGACAACTAGGATTTACCGTGATCTAATAGAGGTAGACACATTCGAGAGCGTAAAATGTGGTTGGATAGCTAGACCCCGTACAAAAGGCCGTAATACGTTTGAGGACATTAAAAATACCCGACCGAAGCTGCTACCTTGACACGGTGGTCGGGCTTGCCTATCGTGATGACCCAACCGAGCTATATTGGCTGGAACATGTGTTCCTGTAGGTTCTACCATGCCAGGCAGGTCGATTGGAGAACGGTAAGACTAAAAGCAGCAACCCAAGGTTTGAGGGCGAAGTCGTACTGCTGATTGTAGAGGGGTGTGACAGCAGTAAGGTGTTTCCCTCGGACAACCAGCATCTGCAGCGATGCTGCCTTCTCACAAGGAAGGAAGAGGTTAGAAAAGGTCGACACTAAAAATGTCACATTTCACCTCACCTCACGGATTTCTGTCTCCGACGGTAAGGCCCTTTGAAGAACGGAGCTAACACATCAAAAACCTTCCACAAAAAGGCCGTGCGCGACCGGCCTCAAGCAGTTGTCCCTTGGGCTCTGCGATCACACTCCCAGGTCGTCAAGACCAACACTAATCCAATTTTCTTTTCAGGTTCCTCAAGAAATACCCTTCCACGGTGTGGGCAGCCGGGAAGTGACATCAGCCCTCATACCCGTAACAGCACACGAGACCAAGTTGTTCACATTCAAATCCTTCCTACACCTCCTCATACCTCTCTTATCTCCATGACTAACCCTCCTCACGTCTCTTTATCACCTCGCACCGCTAGGGCAAACGATTCGAGTACGCGTAACTCTATTCCTAGTCTCCTGAAACCACGCTCTACACTTCATGTTGGAGCTTTTAACGTCCGAACACTGTGCCAAATAGGACAACAGGCTTCCTTAGCTAGGACTTTGGAATCTCGCGCCATCGATGTGTGCTGCGTCTCCGAAACGCGCATACAGGATCCGAGTAGCGTCATTCATTTGACCTCACCATGCCTAAATAAAGAACCGACTCGATTTACGCTTCGTGTATCTGGAAGCCCTGATTCTGCTTCCCGTGGCCTCGCCGGCGTAGGTATAGCATTGAGTCCCAGGGCAGAACTAGCTCTCTTAGAATGGATCCCAGTAGACAGTCGTTTGTGCGCTGTCCGACTGAACGGAACAGTAAGGATCCGAAAAGATAGGGACACTCGTCGTTGCCTCTTCATCGTCTGTGCCTATTCTCCCACTGACTGCAGCTCAGATGATGTAAAAGATGAGTTTTACAGAAAGCTTTCGGACCTTCTCCGAAAAGCTAGGCGCTCCGATGCAGTAATAGTGACCGGTGACTTTAATGCTCAAATAGGTAAACTAAGCGATAGGGAAAGAAACCTAGGTGGATCTTATAGCATCGTGGCTCAAAGAACAGATAATGGCGACCGTCTGTTGCAGCTATGCTCAGATAACCGCCTCTTTCTTGCAAATACTAACTTTAAGCATAAGGAAAAACATCTTTTAACATGGCGACCCCCGAACTCGTCCCAACGTTGGACCCAAATATATCACATCGCTATCAGCCACCGATGGAGGGGCTCGATAGAAGACTGTCGCTCATTCTGGAGCACATGCTTAGATTCACATCATGCTCTGGTACGAGCGCGTATTTGCCTGCGTCTTACTGGACGTAGGAAAGACGCTGCAAGGAAACCTCTTAAGGGCCTATTAATTGATAGTCAAGCTAAGAGTATATTTCAAGAACAACTAGAAAAACAGTTAGGCAGTCATGTATGTGATGCCCACCCCGAGGTAGCGTGGAATGATGTCCGAAAAGCTGTGGAAACAGCAGTGATATCTGCTAGTAAGGTAAACCACAAGGTTAGGGAGAAACACTGGATCTCAGCAGCATCTATCCCACTGATAGATGCTCGGAAACTCATTCCACCTGGCTCTGAACATAATGAAGAGCGGAGTCTGCTTAAGCACAAGCTGACAAGAAGCCTACACAATGATCGTGAACAGTGGTGGGTAGCGAAAGCAAGAGAGATGGAAAAGGCAGCGGCAATAGGTAATAGCAGACAATTGTTCAGACTTGTTTAGGAAACCGACTGTTAGCGAAACACTCTCAGAGAAAGATGGATATATTATACATTTTCAATCCAGGAGATTGGATCGATGGGCAGAACACTTTAGGGATCAGTTCAACTGGCCTACAGCCACACTTCGGTTTTCCACGATCTCCAGTCAACCTGAGTGGCAAGTTAATGTAGGTCCTCTGTCTCTTTACGAAGTTGAAAATCTGAAGTGAGGGAGAGCAGCAGGCCCTGACAGGTTCACTCCTGAGATTCTTAAGGATGGTGGTCCAGTATTAGCAATGAGATTAACTGAGGTCTTATGTAGAATTTGGGATCTGGACGTAATCCCATCTGACTGGTCTCAATCACTGATTGTGCCAGTTTTTAAGAAAGGAAAAAAGTCCTCTTGTGACAATCACAGAGGAATCAGTTTGACTAATATAGTGTCTAAAATATTAGCTTCAATAACACTTCGGCGCCTAACTAAAGCTCGTGAAGAGCAGACTAGAGAAAATCAGGCTGGTTTTCGACCTGGACGTGGTTGCATAGATCAGATATTCGCACTACGCCAGGTTCTAGAACACAGATACACATTCAGACGCCCCACAATCGTAGTATTTCTCGACCTTAAGGCAGCATTCGACTCTGCTGATCGTGAGGTTCTATGGCAGTGTTTGTCACTGAAAGGAGTACCAAAGAAGTACGTTAACCTTATAAAGGCTCTCTACTCGAACACAACTGGTCGAGTGAGAGCTTATGGCGAACTGTCATCAGAATTGATTACCTCAAGTGGTGTTCGTCAGGGCTGTCCACTCTCTCCATTCTTGTTTAACTTTGTCGCTGACGTGCTTTCAGAGCTAACACTTTCCCCATCTAAATTTCTAGGGGTTGAACTTCTACCGGAAGATTCACTTTTTGACATAGAATATGCCGATGACATAGTTCCATTTAATGAAGACGCTGACAATATGCAGTCTTCTGACCACCGTAAGCAGCAATGCATACATGTTCAGGATGCGATTTTCCCCAACGAAATGCAAAATTTTGCTCCAAGATTTCACTTATCTTAGAAGTCTCATCAGCCCTTGTGGTCTTGTGTGTGGCGAAATCTCAGCACGGATACAGAAGGCTCGACTAGCTTTTGCCAACTTGCGTCATTTATGGCGTAGGCGAGATATCCGTCTATCAACCAAAGGACGTGTTTACTGCGTAGCAGTTCGTTCCGTTCTACTTTATGGCAGTGAAACATGGCCGGTAAGAATAGAGGATATTCGTAGGTTACTAGTATTTGATCATAGATGTCTTCGAAATATTGCTCGTATATCCTGGGACCATCGAGTAAGTAATGCAGTTGTTAGGAAACGAGTACTAGGTAAGGATGGCAAATCGATTGATGAAGTGGTGAAACTTCATCAGTTGAGATGGCTGGGACATGTGTTACGTATGCCCAACGACCGACTGCCTCGACGTGCTATGTTCAGTGGTATAGGAGTAGATTGGAAGAAAGCTAGGGGCGGCCAGACCAAAACATGGCACAAGTCCATGAAGTCACTAACAAGTGAACTGAGTCATGTTGGTAGGCGTAGACTACCTGGTTGGGGACCACGAGATGATAGCAACCGATGGTTAGAGACCTTGAATGACATGGCTCCAAATCGTTTGCAATGGCCCAGGTGCACCCACTCTTTGTGTTCTCCCAAATTCTAATCTTCTGATTTCTTCATATCCCTTTCTTTTTCTCCTTCCGAATTTATTTCACTGGATTATACTCCTTGAATAACATCTTCAAACCCTAATTTTTCTGATTGCAGCTTATAATTTTACTACATCTAGCACTACGGGATTTGAATCGACCACTGCATCTCCATGCTAATGTGGTGTGGCAGCTCGAACTGATGTACGTACGTACGAAGTTCTACGTTGTTACTGACTGACTGACATTAAAAATAAGTTGGCTAGTTAGTAGTCTTCGCAACAACATGTTTTTCACTTATACAAATTAAGATCAAAGGCCTGGATTGTGACGCACTGTTAGTAAGGACAGCAGAGAATTCCACGTCGTGCATTCTTTGCCGACTCTGGGACTGGTTGGAAGAAGCGGAGAGGTGGTCAGTGCATGACATGGTGTCGTGGCATGAAAGAAAGCTGCAAAGGACTGGCTTGTGTTGGTCCTTCACGACTCCCTGGCTGGGGTCCGAGAGATGGTGCTACACAGTGGCTAGAGACGTTATCAGATATGGCTCAGAATAGAAGCCAGTGGCGATCCTGCTGTAACCTTCTTTTACTTTCTTCATAAAAAGTGGTTGTGTCTCCCTTACCTGAAAGATTCTTCTGATAGTACCTCTTCGTCATTACTCTCCTTTTCTTTTGCGTTTCTTAGTTTTTTTTTCTTTTTTTTCTTTCTACTTCTCTTCGAATTCCCATTGTTTTGTGTGGCGCATATATATTGGCGCTCTCTTGTACCAATATTTATGTGTTCAAATAAATAAAATAATAAAGGACAGCAGCACTTGGAACGTGCAGCTCAAATAGAAACCAGTTACGTTATTCTTTTTAAACCAATATTACAAGTGCTTAGGAATTTTTGAACCACAAAACTACGGGATTTTATCGTCAGATTCGCCAACTCTTAAGTAGTAAATATACGAAAGCGCGAAAAGTTACCGAAGTAGATAACGTTTCTTGAACACTGAGATTCACCATACTCAAACTGTAAGACGTCTTGTTATAAAAATTAAATTATCCCCTTACATTATTCATAAAATCTCCATGACTTCGCAAACTAAGACGAAATTTACTCCCAACTT